CATATCATACATTCAGTGACCAAATGCCGACTCTTCCGCCGCTTTTGGATCTATATATTGATGTCTATAATAATACTAATCATTCAATTAATATTAAGCATCACTTTCTACTCGTCTCTCTCTCTCTCTCTCTCGTATACAAGTTATCATTTCATTCATCAATTCACAGACATTTGAATCATTAAATTTGTTTCAAAATAATTGCATACAAAAATGTGATATAAATTTAGGAAAAGAGTAATCATATTGTTTTCCAATTGTCACACATCGGGAGGAGATTTGTTTGAGACATACATTTCTCATATTTCTTACAATTTGTTAGAAATGCTTATAAAATATGTGCGAAATTAATGTTTGTTAATAAAAGATCATAAAAATATATTAATAAATATGATATATTATTTAGTAAAACATTTTATTATGAAATTATTAAATACTTATACTGTGTATCAGGCTTTACATGTATATGTTATATGCGTTAATCACGATTGTATTGATATTTATTCAATTGAATACATCATTATAACTTTTACAAAATAATTATCTTATAGATTGAGTTAATTCGGGGGAATTTTACTACAATTTTACATAAATATTTTCATCAACTTTTAAAAATAAATATTAATTTCTCTCACAATATGTTAGAAGTTTTGAAAACATATTTAAATCATTCTTCGGCCTTGTTTTCAGACCTAAAAACATTTCAAAACCAGTTTCGCAAAGAAAGCTGAAGACCTCTTCACATAACAAACATATAAAATACACTTCATTTGTGCCGTCAATGATATTCACACATCACTACAAATTGATTTCATTTTCAAAAGTAATTAAAAATTACATGTCTTTTACACATTCAAAATGAATGAATTTTTAAATTCAAATTTAAGTTCAAACAATTGTGTCCATTCATGTCGTTATTGAGGCTAAGGAAGAGTATTTTAATTGCTATTTTCATTTTGTTAAGTGTGTTGTATATAATATACGAGTCATCACTTTTATGGCCAATCAGTCAAAGTGTGCCATCGGTTGTGGAAAGCCATCCAAAGCACACAAATCAGATGTTTCTTAAGCGAGTGTAAAGCGAAGTTTTGAATTATGTGTCTGGTTATGAGTATTTATGAAGCGCACACTTGTGGTAAAGTCGGTTTCTTAACTGTGTATAAAATGTTTTAGTATTAAACAGGCAAATTAAGGTAAAATTGTAAACATATTGTTTGTCATAAATTTTAATTATAAAATTTAATTTAGAAACCAAACAATCAGATCTTACACACAAATGAGACACAAACTGAGCGCAAGAATCGTGTGGAATATTTCTGCGAAAAGTATGGCTTAAAACATAAGATTGTGTCCATTTGGAGGCACTCTAGTAATAATTTTAACGGCAAACATAAATATTGTACGACAAAAAACTGTCCCGTTTTAGTTATCGTGTGGAATATTTCTGCGAAAAGTATGGCTTAAAACATAAGATTGTGTCCATTTGGAGGCACTCTAGTAATAATTTTAACGGCAAACATAAATATTGTACGACAAAAAACTGTCCCGTTTTAGTGGACCAAAAACATAAGTTTATGTCATGTTTTGTGCAAAAGATTGCCTCAACTTCTATGAAAACTATATTCAATATTTTAAATGATAATCCGCTTAATATTAGCGTCAATACAAACGTAACTGCATTTCATTTCACCGCAAACGATGTGTTGCCGCGAATCAGTCCAATGTTTTACAACACTAATCAAAATAAGATGTTTTTCAAAGCCCTGTTCGTTAGGCATCCCTTCTTCCGACTCGTCTCTGCCTTCAAAGATAAGGCGGAGAAGAATCGCTCAGAAGAGCCATATTTTTACGCCAAATACTGGGATAATATAATGAGAAGTGAAAGGGGAGAACAGAATGTGAACAACAATTCTATGCCTATGTTTAAAGAGTTTGTAAAACATTTGCTAATAACGAGTCCCTATAAATACGATGAACACTGGGCTCCGGTGTGGACACGATGTGAGCCCTGTTATGTCGGATTAATGTGAACAACAATTCTATGCCTATGTTTAAAGAGTTTGTAAAACATTTGCTAATAACGAGTCCCTATAAATACGATGAACACTGGGCTCCGGTGTGGACACGATGTGAGCCCTGTTATGTCGGATACGATTTCATTGGCAAACTCGAGACCAGTTCTCAAGACTTTCGATTCATTGCCAATAAATTGAGTTTAAATCAAACCATTTGGGAGAACAAGAATTCCGTTCACAAGTTATTTGTACTTCACTTTTTTATAAACGAAGTTTAGTGACGGCTTCTGTAATATCGCAACATATCTTATATAAAAGAACTAAAGTTTGAAAAACCAATATGATAACTTCTCTATAAATTTATTTATATATAAATTCCGTTAGTTTTCAATAAACAATTCATTAACGTGAAAATAAAAACATTTATAAGTAAGTAAGTTAAGTAGGTAAATAATTTTTGTTACTATAATATACTTTTTGTCAAATTAACATTGTTTAATATTATTTTAACGTATTCAATGAGCAAATTGTATAATTAATTTGTATTTTTATAAATTAAAACTCTAATAAATATAAAGAGTACTAAATCAAGGCCTAAATGAAAGCAGTATTTAATAAATTAAAATTAAATTAAAAATTAATATACTTTTTAAGACACGATTAGCACTTATTTCTAATTATTTCAGATTTAATAATTTGTATCTAATTTTTATATTTATTTAGAAATTTTCATTTTGGCCATAATTAACAGTCTTATATTCAGAGATATGTACAGAAACTTATTGCAATAGTTATTCATAAGTTTGCTTAATTTACATTTTTATTAAGTAACTCTTTTGGCTAGCAATTAAATATTTTTTGTCAAACTCTTTGAAATTTCAAAATAAAAATAAATTAAAAAAAGAGTACAAGTGTTTCATAAACTAAATTCAGTAAAATTAATACAAATATAAAGCCATGAAATAGAAAATTAAAACCAATTTCTCGCAAATAAATTGTAATTTTTGTTGAACTCGTTTTTAAAAGGCATATGAAATAACATAACATAACTTATAATGAGTTTTAATTAAATTTGTGAAAGAAATCAATCGGTTTGAAGGGATGGAAGTGTTGCTAATTTCGCGTTCACTTCTTCTACTAATTTGTCGACTCTATCGGACAAACCCTTGAATTTGTTGAGGTCTGGGCCCAGCATTTTGACCAGCGCTGGCACGTCGTTATAACTGATGGCCATAAACCGTTGAATCGATAACAAACACATATACGCTGTCAATGAGTGTATAATTAAAATTATTAAAATATTAAACTTCAATATAAGCGCAAAAATGCAAACCTTGGTCTTCAGGGAGATCTCCGTGAAGGAACTGAAGGACAGCAGTGGCCAGTTCTGTGGCCACGTCGTCGAAAAGCTCTTTGAGCGCCAAATTGTAGATCAAACAGACGCCAGTCTTCTGCAAAGTCGTCAACTTTTCGTTCAACACCGTATGGACGGCCGCTCTGGTCGTGGCCTTACTATTGCTAAACGACTGGCCGTCAGATTCAGTCCATTCGCTGATATATAAGAGCCAATCAAAAGTTGTCGGTTGACCGCAAAGATTGCTACTTTAGTAATGAATTATCACTATTCCTCACCGGAAGGCCTATTCCTCAAGAAATCATTGATTTACCACAAGAGGTGCTCAATACGTGAGTTTGGATTTATATGTTTGAAAAAACTCATTAAATAATTAAATAAAGTCATTGAATAACTATTGACTCAAATCCAAGTTTTTTTACAACATTTTCCTTGATTTTTTGCGTCCAAAACATACATTTTTCAGTACAAGTAATGTCTAAAAACTTTTTTTTATACTATTTATAGTTTTCCTTTAATTTAGTGTTTATTTCGTTTGTATTTATATTTACATTTAATTTTTGATTGTATTAGTGTTTAATAGCATTGAATTTATAAGTATTTTCTATGCTTTTATTTATAAATCAATTCATGAAAATTTATAAATTGTGCTAAATTTATCTCTAAGTGTTTTGCAATGACTATTGTTTTCTATTGTAAAAATATAATTAATTGATGTATTAATAGTCTGATGAATATATTCTTAGCGTTTAGAGCACACAGTTGTGTGAGAATAATGGGTTTACTATTACGTAAACATCACTACTTTATGCATAGAAACTAAATATACTGTACATTAATGTAAGAAATTTTATATATAATCATTAATGAAGAGGTGGTAGTAGTTATACAAAGACATGCAAAGGCTGTGGAATACATTCTTACATATGTTTATAAAGAATATTTAGAGAGAGAGAGAGAGAGAGAGAAATATAACAGAATATATTATTATTTGGATGCAAACAGTTGTTATGTTATGTCACAAAGTTTTAAAGAGTTGTATTCAATTATGATTAGCAAATGTAATGAATATTTAATATGTTTTTATAATTAGTTTTTATGCATCACTCAAACTAAATAATAGTTTGTGAAATGAGATAATATTTTTAATTCAAAAAGTTTTAATTAGATCTTGTTTTTGAAAGCAAACTTATTGAGAGAACTCGACGCCCCCCTCCCCCTCAACATTTCATAATATGCTGGCATTAAATAGCGGTTATATAATGTAAATATTTGCGAAACTGATTTACTGTATAGCTGTATAGCTTTGGGTTTAAAAATAGATCATATTTTTTGTAGTTTTAAAAAACTATTTTTGTTGTCAAGTCATTCGTGTTATGCGACAAAATATATTGTAATATAACTTATTATAGGATTTTTGAAATGTTTTTTAGGGGAAAATATTTTGTGTTAAAATTTATATTATTTTTTTGCGCGCCGATAGTTTCAACCAAAATCACAAATCAAACGTTTAGCTGTTATTTTATAAAGTCATGTCATTATTCGTTTACTTGTAGCTATTTTTAGTTATAAATGATTGTCTTTAAAAAACTAATCGCATTCATAGAAACGTTTTGAAGTTACAATTTTTGCCAAATTTTAAAATTGTTTGTTTATCAGTAATATTCCGGTAATAATTGTGTATCACATTATATAATGAGTTTCTTAGCTAAATATAACGATTATTAAAAGTGAATTTTTAGTTCACAAATACATTGAATGAGTTTTTGAAAGTGGTTTATGAAGAGAGAGAATCTAAATATTTCAACTAAATATTAAGTTACTTATGAATAGCAATATTATTCAGTAATTAATATACGGATAATTAATTTTGTAGATATATTCATATATTCTGTACTATATATTTGTTTTATAAAATATAACCCAATTTATCCACAATTTTCTAATAAAGATAATGCTTTTTATTTGCTTTCATTTTTTATATACATTTTGTAAATAGGAATTTATTAAACAAACGACTCTCTCTCTCTCTCTCTAAATATTCTTTATAAACATATGTAAGAATGTATTCCACAGCCTTTGCATGTCTTTGTATAACTACTACCACCTCTTCATTAATGATTTACATTTGCTAATCATAATTGAATACAACTCTTTAAAAGTTTGTGACATAACATAACAACTGTTTGCATCCAAATAATAATATATTCTGTTATAATACTCTCTCTCTCTCTCTCTCTCTGCATTCATATATTATGTAAAACGTTGAAAGAGTGGAACAGTTCATGTGATCTATTAATAACTCTGATTTCTTCCATTCCTCTCTAGACTCGGATTACACTCTCTATAGCTCTTTATAGGGCGAAGAGATGCCAATTCTTACACTTAGTTTTCACAGCAATTGCTCTCAATTTCGTTGAAACTTACAAAAAATATTTTGTTGTTTCGCAGACCTATTGGCCAAACGTTGAAATTGTATTTGAATTCATTGAGTATAAGACCCGAAGGAAGTGGCGTTTCGTTTAGCGGTAACGTCGATAACAGCGGCCGAAGACAAATCCTATCACCACTCGCCGATCAACACAATAATCACTCAAACGCTTCCAGAGAGCAATCACCCATTGAAAGTATACCTCAAAGTCGTCAGCCATCGATAGCTTCCGCACCACAAACCCAACAAAACAGACAAATTGTTTCCTTAAGTGACCTAAAGATGGCCGACAACGACACTGATGTGAACGCCGGCGAAACCAACGACACGAATGAGACTAAAGAACTTAAAGACGATTTTGAGACGAAGTCAATCCGTCGGTCCTATAAATACGACGACCCGCCAGTTGTCTACAAAGATGTCGACGTATGGATCCATTCATTTCTTTATTAATTTATTTTTAATAATTGTTAACAAAATTTGCTGACAATATGTTTATAATGACGATCTATAGGGCGTCGCAGCCATTAAGAAATTGCGAGATTTTATGTCTGATCTGATAAGTGCTGAACAACACACGTATTTGAACGAATTGGGCGAATATCTAGTGTCAGAGAGCGGCGCGTGGGCTCTCGGCGAAGAGCACTTGGAGTTCATTTCCCTATTGCTTAGGTTTTTGATTGAAACGATAATTATTTTCCGCATTTTTTCTAAATATTACATTACATTCGCAACCAGTGGTGGCGACGGGAAGTTTGCGCCCAATGTTCCCCTTTTGGTTCTGGAAGTACTAAAAGCGTGCGCTCTTAAGGACGACATTGTGCTGGTCCTCCATCAGGACCGCAAAGAGCACCGAATCATGAGTTATATTAACAAAATAGAGTCATTGACTTTAGCAGAACAGGAGGAGACCGCGAAGTTATTGTGCAATCTTTGCGGTCAACCGACAACTTTTGATTGGCTCTTATATATCAGCGAATGGACTGAATCTGACGGCCAGTCGTTTAGCAATAGTAAGGCCACGACCAGAGCGGCCGTCCATACGGTGTTGAATGAAAAGTTGACGACTTTGCAGAAGACTGGCGTCTGTTTGATCTACAATTTGGCGCTCAAAGAGCTTTTCGACGACGTGGCCACAGAACTGGCCACTGCTGTCCTTCAGTTCCTTCACGGAGACCTTCCTGAAGACCAAGGTTTGCATTTTTGGCGTTTATATTTAAATTTAATATTTGAATTTTAATTATACTTTGGTTGACAGCGTATATGTGTTTGTTATCGATTCAACGGTTTATGGCCATCAGTTATAACGACGTGCCAGCGCTGGTCAAAATGCTGGGCCCAGACCTCAACAAATTCAAGGGTTTGTCCGAAAGAGTCGATAAATTAGTAGAAGAAGTGAACGCGAAATTAGCAACACTTCCAAACCTTCAAACCGATTGATTTCTTTCACAAACTTAATTAAAACTCATTATAAGTTATGTTACGTTATTTCATATGCCTTTTGAAAACGAGTTCAACAAAAATTACAATCTATTTGCGAGAAATTGGTTTTAATTTTCTATTTCATGGCTTTATATTTGTATTAATTTTACTGAATTTAGTTTATGAAACACTTTTACTGTTTTTCTAATTTATTTTTATTTTGAAATTTCAAAGAGTTTGACATTTTTTTTTATAAATTAACGATCGGTTTTCTCAATGAATTATTTTTACATTTAATTCGTTTGAATACTTATTGATAACGTTATTCAAAGACATGTATAGAGACTTATATTCTGACAATTAATACCGGTTTT